TAGGACTTTCCCTACCACCTTAAAAAGGTCTGCCCACCAGTGGTTCTCNATCTTCGACGGCACCAAAGACCCCCTTGACCATCTGGATACCTACAAGTCCCTTATGCAACTCCACAATGTGCCTGAGGAGATCATATGTAGGACTTTCCCTACCACCTTAAAAAGGTCTGCACACCAGTGGTTCTCCAAGCTCAGGCCCTCCTCCATCCACTCCTTCGTAGAACTCAGCAGGTCCTTCATCTCCCACTTCATTGGGGGACGCTGACATCAGAGACCAGTGACCCACCTGCTTACCATAAAGCAGGATAGAGATGAAAGCCTGAGAGACTACCTTGTCCGCTTCAACGAGGAGGCTCTCCAGATTGAGGAGCCAGATGATAAGGTATCTTTTGCTGCCTTTATCGTTGGCCTCCGCACCTCTAGTTTCATGTTCTCTGTCCTCAAGAAGCCGCCCTCCAGCATGCTCGAGCTGCTGTCAAGGGCACAGAAATACATGAATGCTAAGGAAGTCACCAAGGCCCATCGAGGTGAGTCCTCCCAAGGAGGGGAGAAAAGGAAAGACACCCGTGAAGACAAGTGGGAGGCGGAGAATAAGAGAAAGAGAACCGAAATAGTTTCTGTGAAGGACCGTCTCGGTCCATACCCCCCGAGAGACCGACAACCTTTCACGCCACTCAATGCCTTGGTGGAGCACATCCTATTCCAGATACAGGATGACCCCACGCTCCGTTGGCTAGGAAAAATGAAGTTCGCCCCAAACCGTAGAAATCACAACAGGTACTATCGCTTCTACTGTGACCATGACCACGACACAGATGACTACAATGAGCTCAAGAGGCAGATAAAAGAGCTGATATAGTGNGAGAAAGAGAACCGAAATAGTTTCTGTGAAGGACCGTCTCGGTCCATACCCCCCGAGAGACCGACAACCTTTCACGCCACTCAATGCCTTGGTGGAGCACATCCTATTCCAGATACAGGATGACCCCACGCTCCGTTGGCTAGGAAAAATGAAGTTCGCCCCAAACCGTAGAAATCACAGCAGGTACTATCGCTTCTACTGTGACCATGACCACGACATAGATGACTACAATGAGCTCAAGAGGCAGATAAAAGAGCTGATATAGTGTGGTCAATTGAGGCAATACGTTGGTGGCAAAGGACAAACCCTGCTACTTGGTCGTTACCAAGACGACAAAGAACGCCAACAACCCTTCGGAGAAATTTAGACAATCTCTTGAGGACTACAACTCCGCCAAGGAAACATCGGCCCACCTATGAGACACGCTTGAAGATTTTATTTATCTTTTACAATTTCAGTTGATTTATTTTGTTATTCATTATTTTATAAAATTTTGCAAGATTAAGGTTTCCATAATTGTCTTGTTTTCATCTCAAACAACCTACGACCTATCAACAACAAGGCAGACAAAAAGTCAAAAGACGTCCAGATGAGGGGTCTCGCCCTCTACACCTTAGGTGCCCCCANCAAACAACCTACGACCTATCAACAACAAGGCAGACAAAAAGTCAAAAGGCGTCCAGATGAGGGGTCTCGCCCTCTCCACCTTAGGTGCCCCCATGACAGTCTCGTTTTCTCCACCTTGGCGCCTCATTCGATGTCGCCTAGACAATGGGTCTTACCCCTTCTCACTAGGTGGCCTAGACGATGGGTCTTACACCCTCTCACCAGGCGGCCTAGACGATGGGTCTCACCCCCTCTCACCAGCACCTAGACAANCAACAACAAGGCAGACAAAAAGTCAAAAGACGTCCAGATGAGGGGTCTCGCCCTCTACACCTTAGGTGCCCCCATGACAGTCTCGTTTTCTCCACCTTGGCGCCTCATTCGATGTCGCCTAGACAATGAGTCTTACCCCTTCTCACTAGGTGGCCTAGACGATGGGTCTTACACCCTATCACCAGGCGGCCTAGACGATGGGTCTCACCCCCTCTCACCAGCACCTAGACAAGGGATCTCGCCATCTCCACCTTGGGTGCCCCCATGATGGGTCTCGCCCCCTCTCACCAGACGCCCAGCTTCAGGTGCCCAACACCAGACACCAGGCGCCAAGCTCATCAGCACCCTCATCATCTCCATCTCAATGAAATGAGCCTCAGGCACTTAACTACTCAAAACCCTCCTCATTTCCATCTTAGTAGAATGAGCATCAGGCGCCCTGCTCCTTAGAGCCCTATTCATCTCCATCTCAATGGAATGAGAGATCCTTNGCCCCCATGATGGGTCTCGCCCCCTCTCACCAGGCGCCCAGCTTCAGGTGCCCAACACCAGACACCAGGCACCAAGCTCATCAGCACCCTCATCATCTCCATCTCAATGAAATGAGCCTCAGGCGCTTAACTACTCAAAACCCTCCTCATTTCCATCTTAGTAGAATGAGTATCAGGCGCCCTGCTCCTTAGAGCCCTCTTCATCTCCATCTCAATGAAATGAGAGATCCCTCATCATATCCATCTAAATGGAATGAGTCTCTGCCACGACAACCCTCTTCTAAGCTATACGTAGTTATACCTCTACTCCCGAGCAGCCTCAATCACTAGCTTAGCGTCTCATTCATGAGCCAACCCCAATTGCTTTGCAGCATTTTCTCGTGTCTGTTGCCCAAGCCCAACTTGTTCCGCGGCATCCTTTCGTGCCTGCCGCCCGAGCCTTACTGCCTCGTGGCATCCTCTCGTGTCTGCCACTCGAGCCCAACTTGCTCCGCAGCATCCTCTCGTGCCTGCCGCCCGAGCCCTACTACTCCGCGACATTCTCTCGTGTCTGTCGCCCGAGCCCTACTTGCTCCGCGGCATTCTCTCGTGTCTGCCACCTGAGCCCTACTGCTCCATGACATCCTCTCGTGCCTGCCACTGGAGCCATACTTGCTATTCAGCAGCCTCTGTGCTTGCCACTGAAGCCATACTTGCTCTTCAGCAGCCCCTGTGCCTGCCTTTCTGATATCCTACAGGCCCAAAAGCTCTCGTTCATCAAAGTCAGGTCAAAGCAGGACAGCTATGTGGAGCTACAGTCCCCATAGAACCGCACAAGAGTCTCAACTCCAAAGGCTAGCTCCAGAAGTCATAGTCGGGGAAGGAGTGGGGGCACCACTAGATCTCGCCTCCCAAAAAACAACCTGACCATCAAGCGTTGGTCTAAAAGTACTGGGGGCATCACCCTCTTAGGAGGAGGAGAAGACAACACAAATAACCTCCACCTCCATCATTGCCGCTCAACTCTCCTTCTCGCCCAGAAGAGGTGCCCAAAGTCGTCTGTAATGTTGCCTGCCTCGCCTGTCACGTTGGCGTCACCCACCAAGTCTCCCCCTACATTTGATGTCATACAGGGGTCCACAACAAGGAAGGCGTCGCCCAGCAAGGCGCTGGCGTCGCCCATGGGGATGGGTCCTCCTATCTCGCCCAGTCTCCCATCTCACCTTCACAACCGCCTAGTGCAAGACCCAAGGCGTCGCTCACATTGCCCATGGACTCCTCGCCAAAGTCACTTCTCACTTTGCATCAAGGGGAAACAAAAAAAGAAAAAGAGGAGAAGATGGAGGCGGCGCCCAGCAAGAGAAAAAAGAAGAAAAAAAAAAGAAAGGGAGAAAGGGGAGCCCACGCCCAAGAGGGCGGTGCCCAGCAAGAGAAAAAAGACAAAAAAAGAAAGGGAGAGAGCAAGGCGCCAGGAAAACCAAGAAGAAAGAAAAAAAAAAAAAAGAAGAAGAGAAGGTGAAAGTGGCGCCCAACAGCAGCCAAGACAAGGGAAAAGAAAGAAAAAAAAAAAACAAAGTGGGCGACGCCCAATCAACCCAAAAAAAAAAAAAGAGGGAGGAAAAATCAAATAAAGTGGGCGGGAAAAAATAAAAAAAAATTTGTTCGATACCGATCAATACAGCGGAGCCCTGAAGACGAAAAAACAAAAATTTTTTTTTGCTCACTCAGAAAAAGACGAAACACATGCCCTCAATCTCTTCCTCCCTATGAAAATCAGAGGCTTAGGGCATGGGGGCAAATGACGAGCACGAATTTGACTGGGCTAGACCCAATGAAAACAATTCAAGAAAGCTTGAAAGAAATTCTAAAGCGAAATTGGATCGACCCATTGGAAAGAAAGACACCAAGAGGACAACACCAAAAGTCAACGGGCCGAAGGAGGAGGAGGACAAGGGAGCCCTTGGGCGCCCCTTTTCTTGATCCTCCTCACCTTGGTACTCCACGTCCAGGTCCAGATCCAAACCAAGCCTACTTAAGATAAGTCCAGGTCCAGGTCCAAGCCAAGTCTACTCGAGACAAGTCCAAGTCCAACTAATGTTCTCCTCCGGATGAATAGGAAGACGAGGAAAGATAATATGGAGATAGATATAGAAGATCTCCTATCATAGTAATACTTGCTAAAACAATATAATTCTTCTCCTTCACGTCACCACCTCTGTTATCTTACCCTAACTATATAATGTAAGCACTCTCAACATAAAAGGCCTCCAACGCCTCCAAAGCTTATACTCATTATTTTCTCTTTGTCTCTCCAAAAGTACTATATCTCTCCGGAGTACTACCATTCATCAACATCAATAAAGAACATAGGCCGTCGCTGCTATTTTCGAGAGTGGATGTAGGTCACTCGGATCGAACCACTATAAATTTCAGTGTTGATCTATTATTTACTATTTTATTCTTAATTGTCATTGATTGCTTGTTTGTCACTCATTAATTGCTCATTAATCACACATTTACACATACTTGACTGTTGATCTTGCACGAAAATATTTTTGTGCATCATCAATTTTAAATGAATACCAAATTTTAAAATTAAATTTAAAATCTAAAAGACGTGACAGTTGACATTAATTTTTTTATTTGATGTCATATCATTTGTACCTAATAAAAACTCTAAATAATATACCACGAAAAAGCTTGATCGGTGACGACCCTGGACCTGAGAAAAAACTTAGTCCAAACCCGGGACGGTTAATACATATTGAACGGACGAAAATATTTGTATAAATCCGTCCGATGGACTTTACCTAACCCACTTCCGTCCCGCTCCGTCCCCGTTATATATATATATACACACTCCAGTAAAGCGCTAACTAGATCTACTCTCTCTAATCTCTATCAGCCATTCAGTCGCCCGCCTCCATACTGGGTGTCGACTGCTCAACGTTAAAATCAGACCTCCCTCCAGGCGTCGGCTGCCCAACGTCGACAAAGCCTCTGCTGTTCCTCAACGCCGGCACAGCCTCACAGGTCACTGAGGTCAGTCATCTCTCTCTCTCGCTTCTGTGGCTTAACATCATGGAGGTTGTGAGGAGTGGATCAGGTGGGCATTGCTTCTGCGAGATTGAATAAGATTTGGATGATTGAATTCGGTGGGCATTGAATTCGACATGATACCCATCATCCAAATCAGATTTGTAGTTCTCGGTGGGCATTGCTTTTGCGAGATTAAATCTTCCGTTTAGGATAAGATTGAATTTTTAAAGCTGATATTTGATTTGGATGATGGGTTTGTTTTCAATATGGGTATAACTATGGTTGGTCTTGGCTATTTTATTGGAAAGGTTTTTTTTTTTTTTTCCAGAATTGTTTTGCTTATAATTGCCTGACTTATATATAGTTTAAATTAGTGATGAATCAGTGTTTGTCAAAACCTTTAAACTAAAATCTTCAAAACATCGAGTTTTACAACATTGTTAAAATATGTATTGCTTTTGGCTTACAAGTCAAACTATATTTGAGCAAGTGATTAATCCATCCAAATATCGTTTCAGGCTCAAATGATGAAACTTTTTCATTTTATGCAAACCCTAAACAAAAACATAGTTGCAAATTTTGAATGTAGGATTCTAGTTTCTAAATTTCCTCAAAAGACCAATATGAAAGAAAACTTGTCTATGTACTTAAAAATGTTGCAAGGTTTTCTTTCCCCTTTGTCCTTTTTTCCCCCAATAACTGGACTATTGGAGAGTTTTCAAACTTCTTCCAAATTGAATCCTATCAAAACAGTTTGAATCATATCAAAACAGTTCAAGGCTAATTTAAAGACAAAACTAAAGAGGTATGGTGTAATTTGGTTACAATTCCACCATTCAATCTGTACTCAAATTAACCCCGATGGATTCAAATCAACTACACCTCCATATTGATTTGATCCAATTAACTTGTGGATTATGTTGGCTTGGGCTTGGGCTTGGGCTTGGGCTTGGGCGTGTACGGTGGAAGCGGGGACGGGGGCAGAGTTTAAAAATTTTAATGTGGACGAAGATGAGAATGAAAATTATACCTGNTATTGATTTGATCCAATTAACTTGTGGATTATGTTGGCTTGGGCTTGGGCTTGGGCGTGTACGGTGGAAGCGGGGACGGGGGCGGAGTTTAAAAATTTTAATGTGGACGGAGATGAGAATGAAAATTATACCCGTTAATGGGGGTGGAGCAGGGATAGATGAAGGTTTTTTAAGCAGGTACGGGGATGGAGACTATACTCCCGTCCCTGCTTCGGTCCACTAACATCCCTAACCCTGATTATATAAATAATGTTTTACTTATTCTTAGATGCAAAATTTATGGTGTATATGAAAGAAGAAATAATGAAAATTGTGGTTGAAAATATAGAGTGTACCATTGTGCTTATTTGATCATTGTTGTGCATTTGCCTTTCGGTGCTTGGACTGATGGCATCATTGATGGCTATGGAGCTGGGAGATTAGGTTCAAAGTGTATCTTGGAGACATACAGTTGAACCTATGTTAATTGTCCCAAAAGTGATTGTAGCCAAGCTGATGTAAACTAGATATAGCTCTCTAAATAGATGTAGTGTCCAGTAAAGTTGAACCCTTAACTCACGCAAACAAAGATCTTTAATGTTAATCTGTTTCTGCTGAGTTGTCTGGCTCTTCATAACGTGCATGTGGTGCTTCAAATTGAACTCTTGCCTTTCATAGATCAGATCTTTTAGTTACTTTAAAGTGTTTCTTTCACATTGTCTGACTCTTTCTTTATGCTCTGTGGACACTTGCCGACTTCTTATGTCATAAACACATTATGAAAACAAATCTGAATACCAAATCTGATTCAACTTGGACCTTTATGCTGAAATTAGTATGATTTTTGTAGTCTAGGATTTTCTTTGAAATAAGAAAGTAAGAAATTCCTTGGTGGGAGATAAAGAAAAGTAGAGGCTAAAGCTATTGCAGCAGAGTGTTTAAAGCATTGGCATGGTATCTAAAGGAAAGGGTGCTTCAAGGTTCAAGTCTTATTTCCAATTAGCAAAAAGATAGGAAGAAAGGGAGTGAAATAAATTGAAAAAAGTTTAAGATAAGAAACTTTGTACCTTTAAATCATAGGAAGGAGGAGTACCAATAAAAGAAGAAAGCTAATAGAGAACTGGCCAAATGGGGGCAGAGAGAAAGAGAGGGAGAGACCAGAGAGCTTTGTCTTAGGTAAATCTCGTATAAGGTCTTGTCCAAGCTCGCTGGTGATGCATGAACAGGGAGAAAAGCTACTGGCAAGGCTGCAGAACATCCATCTATGCTTCCATTTTAAGGTGGAGTAGCAAGTAACTAGTGTTTCCTTAATTCCTTTGGGTTCAATGGTCCAAAGGGTGTCTGAAGGATCAAGCCTTTAGAGGAGTTCAGGGTTTGGCTTGAAAGGACAGCAGTGGAAGATATGGAGACTGCAGTCCGAGCACATTTGACAGGATAGAAATTTATTTTCCCTAATGATTTCAGAGTGAATTGTCAGAATTTTATGAAGCATACAAGCTGGAACAACATCACTGGCATTCTGGTCTGACACAGCTTTTCAAGTTATGTCTTCCTGACATCATAAGATCCAATCTTTCATCAGTCTCTGTTTTTGTGATCTTCATATAGTTTCTGCATCTGTATATTTGTAATCTCATTTAATTTGTGGTTGTTTGTGCAGACATCAATATGGAAGAAGGCCAACTTGGTATTTCTCTTAAAGCAAACTGATCCTCCCATTTCACTCGTTTAGACTATTTTTGTAACTTACTTCCNATTTGTGGTTGTTTGTGCAGACATCAATATGGAAGAAGGCCAACTTGGTATTTCTCCTGAAGCAAACTGATCCTCCCATTTCACTCGTTTAGACTATTTTGTAACTTACTTTCACTAACTATGTTCATATTTGAGGCTGAATTACCCGCTTGGGTAATTTATTATGTTCTTATCATCATGTTGATTTTGAACATCCTCCTTGCACCAAAGTCTCTTCCATTTTTGATGCCATAACTACATTTCGAGAACACCATTTATGTGATGAAATTTAAGGCAATGGTGTTTGGGCTATTTCAGCTGGGAAATGCCTATGAATGGATAGTGACAAAGAAGACAAGGTAGGTCATCTGAATCAGACTTATTGGCCCTCCCCGAGAGGGAACAAAAAATTTAAATGGAGAGAGAATCCAAAGAAAAGAACTTGTGCTCGCTCTTCTTCTACTCACTGCATCTGCAAGAAGCCTGTTATGGGCACATGGTATTCATTTATATTTGTTACAAATAATGGTGATCAATATAAATGAAGCATTTCAAGAATCTTTCATCTTTGTTTTACTTCCCGATAGAATTTTCATGGGTAGGCTCTTTGGATTTTTTATTTATTTATTTTTGCTGTTTGAAAATTGAGGTACCAGTATAAAGAGATTGAACTATGACTATTAACCTACTTGCTATCCTCCGGTACTTGGCTTCATACTGTGTATGGAAAGTCTTAAGTTGTGAGCTCTCCAGCAGGCCCCACTTGGCTAATTCATGGGCGGCTTCATTTGCTGCTGTGTGTGTGTGCATCATACCCTTGTCCATATGTTGCTCAAATAGCTGCTTTAGATCTTGGATGATAGATAGAATGCTCCACTTTGGTTTTATATGTTTTAACACTACGGCATGTACCACTAGCTCCAGTCTTTAAAATTGGCTCAAATTGCTGCCTCTACCGCTGCTAAACCTTCAGCTTCTAGTGATTCCATAGTACTTTTGAGTTCAGTTTTGGCTCCCAACACCTCTCCATACNCTACGGCATGTACCACTAGCTCCAGTCTTTAAAATTGGCTCAAATTGCTGCCTCTATCGCTGCTAAACCTTCAGCTTCTAGTGATTCCATAGTACTTTTGAGTTCAGTTTTGGCTCCCAACACCTCTCCATACTGATTTCTGGCAATAACTACAATTCATACTGCATTCCTCCTTATTGTGCCATCTGTGTTAAGCTTTATTCCTCCCTCATACGATAGAGTCCACCGATTTTGTTTTGTGATGATTGGATCCCTTTGCTGTGGCCTTGATTGCTTTGGGTAGATCAAAGATGATTATAACTCTTCAAAATCTCTGCTGATTTTCCTGCATAATGAGCTGAGGCATAATTCTTACCTTATCAAAAAGAACTTTGTTCCTCAGTTTCCAGATTGTGTTGGACAGAATAGCGGTATACAAAAGCCAGTGTACTCCACTCCAGCGGGAGAGTCTTCAATGTTGAGCCATGTTGCTAGAAAGCGCTTTGTTGGAAGGCAACGAAACTGAACAGCATGCAAAAAATAAAAAAGAAGTAAGAAAGTTAATATTAAGGGTCCATCAACAGTGTAACAAAATATTGGATAGGGTTTACGAGGACTATATTGACAAATTTACTATTTTAATTAGGGTCAAATTATAAAATATTTCAATACTAGAAAAAATTTAGGGGGGTCAGTTCATAGTTTCTGAAACTCAGGGGCAATGTCCCTGCTTCCGGGCCAAGGGAAGAAAGACAGGTTTTTTTGGGCCCCATATTGAAAGTCTCTGGTTTGATAAGCTTTTTTGGTGTGGGTTGGGTTGGGTTTTACCCGTGAATTTGAAAGACCCATTCCTCTGAATTTCAAAATTCAAATAACAGCTGAGGAGCCGCTCTCTCTGTCTCTCTCGCTCTGTATTGAGTCTATTGACCGTAGCTCACTACAGAGGCCTCACCGCAGTTAAATACTTGTTCCCGAAGTATACGTATAGAGGATTGTCTCTCATCTTTGTGTACTTTTTGTTGGGTAATTGGCTTCGGGTATTTGCTATTTTGACTCGAACTCTTTTTGTTTCTCTTGATAACTGAATGTCAATACAACTCCTAAATTGTTAAATTTTCAGTTTTGTCTCAACTTTTTGTAAGTGCCTGAGTTGGATAATGTCGTCTGATTTTGGCGGTGGTTATGTAGTATGCCATGCCTATAAGGTGTTCGGCGAAATGCGTCCTGTACTCGCACACAAGAAAGGTCTCACTGATTGTAATGTGGAATTTTGAATCCTTTCGATGAAATGTTGTTGCAAAAAAATGCAAAATATCATGGTGGTCAGCTTGTTAATATGAAATCTATGAATTCAGAATCCCAATTCCAATTCCAAATCATGGCTTTAACATGCAAACCTCAACTTGAATTTATGAATTCTATCTTGTTAGATTAGACTTCTTTGCACAACTTAGGGGATGCGGTAACATCACTACATAGTTGAAAAAAAACACAAGGGTTTTCATCAATTGTTATGCCTTTATATAATTATACCGTAAAAAAGATCTGCAACTCATGAGATCGGCATCTTCAGAAATTCTTTTGGATTCAGGTTTTTGTTATAGTTTATATATATTTTTGTACAAGTGTAGCTGTTTTTCTCAATACTCTTTCTACAAGGTTTCCATCTGCATTTGTTTGGGTCAAATTTTGATCACAAGCGTTTGGTGGAACTATTTATATGACATGCCATCCCCTACCAATAAAACTGATATATTTTCCAAGCATTGTATATATGAAGTTTGGGTTGCAATACTGGAATTAGAGAATTATTCATGGAACAATTACATGTAATTGAAAGTGTCAGGACCACAAAATAAACAATTATTTTGGGTTCTAGTGATCTGATTTTACAATTATATAACGAATATGAACTGTTTGACATTTATTATTTTCTCCTTTAACTCTGTTGTTCTGCTTGTATGTCGTTTCTGATTTTTTATTTTCACAAGTTGAACGCAGTGAGAATATGATTCTGTCATTGGGTACTACAACTTTCCCTTCAACAAAACTGCCTCCAGTTTCAGTTGCTGCCCCAACTTTTAGCAGCAGCATCATTCTTTTCAAAGTAAACAGTTATTCAAGGGATACACGATTTCATTTTTGTGATGTTGGGATACATCCACAACCAAAAGGATGGATTCATGCTGTAGTTTCTTCCTTTCCAAACCACCAAGGAATTTGGGAAGATCCTGATGATGGTAGTGGAAGTGAATATGAATATGAAGATGAAGATGAAGATGAAGATGAGGAAGTGGAAGAAAATGATTTGGATTTTGAGAGTGACTGGGAAGCAGAAAGAGATGCTGCNTGGGAAGATCCTGATGATGGTAGTGGAAGTGAATATGAATATGAAGATGAAGATGAGGAAGTGGAAGAAAATGATTTGGATTTTGAGAGTGACTGGGAAGCAGAAAGAGATGCTGCAGCTACTAGCAGTGTTGATCAGTTGTCGACAAGCAAGTATGATGAGGATCTTGTGACAGGTTTTTTGGTTATCTCTTATCTGTTTTTTAATAAGAAATGGTTACTTTTATTGATGAAAAGATCAGTACTTCAGAAAATCAAAAGACAGTGAGCAAAAATTAAAACTATGTTCCCTTCAAAACGTTCTTTTTTCTTGTCACGTTTCATTTGGAGATCCTCCAAAGTTGGATGATGTACCTCACAAGATTCAGTATGTTGTTTGTCAAAATGATTTCCCTAACAATTGCAGAATCTGTAACATACAGCATGATGAACCCAGTTAAGTTTTGACTCACTTAAATTGGTTCTAGATATTTGTTTATCTGGCATAAGCTGTTGAAGAATTACGGTTTTCTATTTAGAAAGTTAGCAATATTAAAGTGTAAATTGGTTTATCAGATGATTTGTCTGGTTAATTAACTTATGCTTCCATTTCCAGTCTTCATCTTGAAAAATTTTGCATGCTTTTATTCTTAACAAATAAAAGTAATGCTTTTGCTCAGCTGCTGAGAGTTACATATCTATTGCGTTAGCCTGGATGGGTTTACTTTTGAGTTTTTTCTGGCACACATTTTTTGGATTCTTTCGGCTTTTAGCTGAGGACCATGTAACTGGTACAGTGTTCTCTAATTCCTCCAGAGGTTGAACAGCTTTTGGGACCAGAAGAAAGAGAAATTTTGAAACAGAATGAAACTCCTAACCTGGAGAAAATATCAACTGTAAGTTTGATAATTTCGAGCAGTCTTCTCTTACAAATGATATTTATTCGTGTCTTAGTTGTCTTACCCCATAGAATAACTATCGACAAAAGGAACATTTTATCTACAAGAAAGATACTGGAGTATGCCTGTTGACTAACCTGAGGACTATTTCATCGATTCTTTAAAATCTTGCAACTTTGTAACCAGGTCAAATGGAACCACCTCCATAGTCTTGGGATGGCAGGGCAGATACATTTCATGGACAAGCTTCTTGAAAATGGGGTTGATGTTGACCTTGTTGATAAGGTAACATTTTTCCATATCCCCCCTCCCACCCAAAAAAAGTTTGGAGCCCTTTCTGATTTAAATTGGTGAACCAGGATGGTTTGACCACTCTTCATAAAGCAATTATAGGCAAAAAGGAGGCAGTCATCAGTCACCTTTTAAGAAAAAGTGCAAGTCCTCACGTCAGAGATCTGGTATGGATGATTTTGATTTATTGATATTTCTTGCCTTTTTTGTTTGACTTCAAAGTGACTATGGTTTTTTTTCTTCTGTAACAGGATGGTGCTACTCCACTTCATTATGCAGTTCAAGTGGGTGCCAGGCAAACTGTGAAGTTATTGATCAAATACAAGGTCAATGTGAATGTTGCTGATAATGTGAGTACAGTTTTTTTCATTATTTTCTTTTCTGGGGTGAGTAAGCAATTTTTTTTAATTGTTGTCGTACAGTATTAGTTTCAAAACTTCATTCCATAAATTTTATTCACAGGAAGGTTGGACTCCATTGCATGTCGCCATACAAAGTAGAAATAGAGACATAGCAAAAATTTTGTTGGTTAATGGGGCAGACAAGACCAGAAGGAATAAGGTAGTATTGTACCACTATATGCTTTAACTATTGCTGATGGTTTAAGTCAATATCTCTCATGCTAGGTTGATATATGTGACTTGTTATCTTTCATGCTTTGAGGAACACATTGTCATTGCAAAGCTCCATGAGTTCCTTAATTTAATTTCTATGTGGTTGGTCTTTGGTCATGTACGTCTTAGCTTTGTACCCAAACTATTAGTCATTAGGCTGCCTAATGTCTGACCTTAGTGATAAGTTGAAAGAAGGGATAAAAGCTTATAGTTCAGACCAAACTTTTACCTGAATTACAGGCCAACATAGAAGATACAAAATGGCCATTATACAATAATGGCCTGTGTTTCATCTCATCTCTACTTGAGCTGAAGATTTGAGGGCACTATTCCCTGACTGTAATCTGGTTTATAATTTAGTAAATTATTGTGACATCAAAATGCTTATGTAAGTCACATCCATGCATTTCAACTTTCTGGTCTGAGGGAAGTTGATTTACCATTTTTGCCTCGTAATGTTTTAGGATGGGAAAACACCTCTCGACCTAAGCTTATGTTACGGGAAGGATTTCAAGTCTTATGACCTTGCCAAGTTACTGAAGCTCGTACCAGCTAACAGAGATCAGTGAGTGGAGGCGTGCATTCTGCTACTTTGGAATAGAATTGATCGCTATGGTTGCATATGATGTTACGGTCTCTGACTATGAAGTTTCTACATTAGGAAAATCAACTGCATGTCTGTATGTATCTACAGGGGGAATCAGTGAAAATGCATCTATTTTGAGACAGACANATTGATCGCTATGGTTGCATATGATGTTACGGTCTCTGACTATGAAGTTTCTACATGAGGAAAATCAACTGCATGTCTGTATGTATCTACAGGGGGAATCAGTGAAAATGCATCTATTTTGAGACAGATAGAGTTGTTTTGTATATGTTGCTTCAATGACATGATCAATTTGTTTATTTGTGGATAAATCAGAGAGTTTGATTCCGAAATTGCAGAGGCTTGGTTTGATCTATCTGCCCGCTGAGTATTGGGAACAGCCTATAATGCTTACTCCTGGGAATTATATTAGTGCATAAATGGCTGAAGTTTCTCAGGGCATTTTGAGTAAAAGATGATTCCGTTCTTCTTCCTGCCCAAACTCTCGTTTTCCTCCCGCTGTATTTATTTTATTGGCTAGTGCTATGCACATTAAATTTCCTGTCAGATTCTCTTGTATAAATAACACCGTAGTGTGTGTATGTAGTCCCCAATGGACAATCCCCCCCCCCCCAAAAAAAAAAAAACACCCTGGCATTGAGGGTGGTGTGGGTTGCTGCCTATTAATTCTTAGAAGGTTTTTGGTAATTCATATAATCTTAATATAAGTATTTTGTGGAAATGGGAAGAAATATTGCAGTGTCATAGTCAAATTGGTCACACTATCANAAAAAAAAAAAAAAAAAAAAAAAAAACACCCTAGCATTGAGGGTGGTGTGGCTTGCTGCCTATTAATTGTTAGAAGGTTTTTGGTAATTCATATAATCTTAATATAAGTATTTTGTGGAAATGGGAAGAAATATTGCGGCGTCATAGTCAAATTGGTGACACTATCACTACAATCTTATTGATACGCTCATGTGACTGTCACACCAAACAATTTCTCCGNTGGTAATTCATATAATCTTAATATAAGTATTTTGTGGAAATGGGAAGAAATATTGCAGTGTCATAGTCAAATTGGTCACACTATCACTACAATCTTATTGATACGCTAATGTGACTGTCACACCAAACAATTTCTCCGGGAGTTGCGTAAATCATTGAAGTTTTTTTACTTTCATTTTTGTAGTTCAAATATCCAAAAATTTTAGCCCGATAGTGGTGAGATTTGAGTATTGACGTTTACTTTGAATGATCTCAGCTTTAAAACCGTGGCTAATCCGTCATTATCAATTTATTTTTTCAAATTGATAACCGAGAGTATCGAGACTGGCCCATGTACAACTTGAAAATAGTTGGGCTCTAATGGTCCAAACTGTTGGGCTTCTAAACTCCGAGTTCTGGACTCTCGAAGTACGTCCCATCATCACTTTCCCGCCAAAAGGCCCAGATATTTCCACCGTGGCCATTGTCTTTACATAGCTTTTAGCATTTCATGGTCTCTCTCTCTGCATCTCTCCCGACCTTCGAGTGATCAAAAAGGTGAAATGTTTTTTTCCTTTCTCATCTCCTTTTCGCCTGTTTTACAGTTCGTAGTATTCTGATTACTCTATACCCTCGATTTGGCTCCAAGGAAGGGGGAATTTGTGGTGGTTTGTGAAGTGAAGTTGAAAACGAAGCATCAATGGGTGATGAGAAAGACGCCTTTTACGTGGTGCGGAAGGGGGACATTGTTGGCATCTACAAGAGTTTAAACGATTGCCAAGCTCTGCTCGGATCCTCCGTAAGTATTTCATGGCATTCTAAGTTATACTCATTTGTTAATCTGTCTATTTTCCCTTTTTTTCTTGTTGCTTGGGTGCTTAATTGGTTGTTACTAGACTATAATTATGAATAATAATGCCACCCACCAAAGGGGTTTTTCTCTCTCTGTTTGTGAATTCAATCTCATCCTGTTATGGGATGGTTCTACTTGCATTTCCGACCGAATAGGTTAGGTATTAGTGTTTGAAGTTTTGACCTAGCGTTCCAAACTCTTGCTCTCCTGGAATGATGGATATTGATCTCCCCACCACCCCAAAACAAAACACTTTAATACGGTCTCTGATGAACCAAGCTGGTCCCGTTTTAGTAGCCAAGGATAACACTGCGGATTTTAACTTATCATTTCTTGCATTTAGTCCTTATTTTTACGTGTTTGTTTATGAGAACTTTACGCATTTTTTGTTGTTAGGCAGTGCTTGTATTTGTTTACGCTTCCAAAACTTTTAGAAGGCACCTGCATAAATCATAAATGTATTAATTATAAATCATTCTCAACCCATGATCGATATGAGCTTGAAGTTTCCTTTGTAACTCCTGGAATTTTTTCCTAGGGACTCCCTTTCATGCAGCATTGACTTTATTTCATTATATTGCATCCATATCCCAAATTCCATATATTTAATATCCCATTGGTGTTTTTGATGTAACATGTGTAGTTTCTAGTCTATCTCTTTCTATTTGTTTTCTATATGTAGAAAGTTTGAAAATCATCAACATATTCCATTGTATAAGCAAACAATTTATATGTGGTGGCTTGTAGTCACGTGCATGAATGACTTTTCTTTTTGCTTTTAGGTGAACAATTCTTCTGTAAGCGTGTTTAAAGGGTATCATTTATCTAAAGAGGCTGAGATATACCTTGCTGCTCATGGACTTAAGAATGCGATTTATTCTGTCGGTGCTCCTGCCGTGCAAGATAGTCTTTTTGGCCAACTTGTTCCCTGCCCTTTTAAGGTCAGATACTTGAGCAACTTATTAATATAATTATTTCTGATGACCATTTGATCATTTTCCCCCTCCTCAAGGATGGACCATCTGCATTCAATTTCTTTTGATTGTTGTTTGTCAGATTCATAATGCTCGGTTTGGTAGATGGTCTAAGATATTATCATTCTTTCCATGGGCATATGCGGGAGACTTTGTAGTGGGAATTGGGTTCTTAGCTTGAAGATGGTGTTGGATGTGTATGTTAGAAGCCCTCATATATTGGCCATATGCTGTTCTGGAAAAACTTGTAACTGCAATCCAGGGGTCTCTTTAATCATGAAGTCTATACTTGGAATGTTAGATAAATGTGCTTTGTTGGTGGATGAACTAAATGCTTTTATTTCATGTTATAAAGTAATGTCTCTTGTCCTGTTCTGCCATAATACGAAAATGTTTATATCTCATGTTATCAAGCTATGTCACTTGTGCTGTTCTGCTGTAGTATTGATCATGAAAGAGTTTATTCTTTGCAATGAGAAGGATTCCTATCAAAGTATTGGTAATGTGATTGGATTTATGGAATTGTTTCAGCAACCAGCTTTTTCAGTTAGCAAGAATTCTCCCGAAAAGAGGTTGCAGGTATTGCTTCAAACAGAAATAGTTTAAGCCAGAATATTTCACATGTCTTAGTGAAAATATTTATGTGTAAAAGTATGTTGTGAGACACATCTATGCATTTTCAAATATATATGTTAATTTGGTTTGGGAGATATTACAACTAGCTACCTAATTTTGGCACATTCCACAAACTGTCTCCAATTTCAGTTATTAAACAACCTATATTGTGCTGGCAATGGGATGTTGTTAACCATGTCAAGGCATTGATAGGGAAAGCAATTGGAATTTCTATTATGGACTGGCCCTGTGGCCGATATCATGGACATGCTCCCTTGTATAGGACACTACATCCATCTTGCTCCCTTACCCATTCAGTAGATGTGAAACCATATTCTAATATATGTACAGAACACAAATTTGAGCAGAGTGTGTAGTTTATTGCCAAATAACTTGGACAAAAAACCTTTGTATGAGTTATGACCAATTTTCTAAGACCAGTTTTCTCCAGTTTGATGTTTGTGAGCTGTGAAAATTATGTGACGAATGTAGACTAATGTCAATCAGGGGGCTAGAAGTTTAGTATTGGAAACTTGCAGTAAATCAATTCACGAGGAAAGGTTTGTTTACCATGGGTTTGTGGTAAATGAACACTTGAATTTTTATGAAATACCAATGTGGGATTGGATAGATGTGAATGAGATATGCTTATTCTATATAAGGGGAGAAGTACTAAAAATCCCTTTAAAAATTTCTTCGCTCCAAAAAACAGTTTCTTTTGTCCATCCAAAAGACTGAGAAAAATGGTTATTCTAATTACAAATCCCAGTTGTTACCTTTTCTCCAAGCACCGTGAAAAAGAAGAAATTTTTTGACAAAAATTAGTTTGATACCCTCAGACCTAAATAACTAGAAAATTGTAGAGGCCAACACAATGATTTTGAAAGAAGTCTTACCAAATTACTCAGCTATATTCCATGACTATTGGACCATAGCTCGCAGCTGGTCTCTCTCTCTCTCTCTGTATAGCAGTTTGTATTCTTTGGAGGCTAAGCTCACAAAAAGCCAGTTGTTAGATTGTCAAATTATTTATCTTGCTACATGCAGGAGAATTATGTACAATCACCTAAAATTATTGTATTAAACATGGAGCATATTAGCTCATGTATTTCTATTCTTCAATTTGTTAGATTACATATTTTTTTCATGCTCAAATTNAAACTGTCTCCAATTTCAGTTATTAAACAACCTATATTGTGCTGGCAATGGGATGTTGTTAACCATGTCAAGGCATTGATAGGGAAAGCAATTGGAATTTCTATTATGGACTGGCCCTGTGGCCGATATCATGGACATGCTCCCTTGTATAGGACACTACATCCATCTTGCTCCCTTACCCATTCAGTAGATGTGAAACCATATTCTAATATATGTACAGAACACAAATTTGAGCAGAGTGTGTAGTTTATTGCCAAATAACTTGGACAAAAAACCTTTGTATGAGTTATGACCAATTTTCTAAGACCAGTTTTCTCCAGTTTGATGTTTGTGAGCTGTGAAAATTATGTGACGAATGTAGACTAATGTCAATCAGGGGGCTAGAAGTTTAGTATTGGAAACTTGCAGTAAATCAATTCACGAGGAAAGGTTTGTTTACCATGGGTTTGTGGTAAATGAACACTTGAATTTTTATGAAATACCAATGTGGGATTGGATAGATGTGAATGAGATATGCTTATTCTATATAAGGGGAGAAGTACTAAAAATCCCTTTAAAAATTTCTTCGCTCCAAAAAACAGTTTCTTTTGTCCATCCAAAAGACTGAGAAAAATGGTTATTCTAATTACAAATCCCAGTTGTTACCTTTTCTCCAAGCACCGTGAAAAAGAAGAAATTTTTTGACAAAAATTAATTTGATACCCTCAGACCTAAATAACTAGAAAATTGTAGAGGCCAACACAATGATTTTGAAAGAAGTCTTACCAAATTACTCAGCTATATTCCATGACTATTGGACCATAGCTCGCAGCTGGTCTCTCTCTCTCTCTCTGTATAGCAGTTTGTATTCTTTGGAGGCTAAGCTCACAAAAAGCCAGTTGTTAGATTGTCAAATTATTTATCTTGCTACATGCAGGAGAATTATGTACAATCACCTAAAATTATTGTATTAAACATGGAGCATATTAGCTCATGTATTTCTATTCTTCAATTTGTTAGATTACATATTTTTTTCATGCTCAAATTATCAGCTGGTGGGTAATGAAGTGTGTATATGGGGGTGTTTTGTGTGTGTGTGTGTGAGGGAGTGAGAGAGAGTGAAATTTTCAATTCATTAGGATATAGAATATTGTTATACAAATAAGCACATTTTTATCATTCAATGCGTGGTGAATGTTTTCCGATGACGTGTGCTGTGATTATAATTTGTTGTCTCATGTAATGTCATTCTTGAGATTTGTTGATCACATAAAAAAGAATTGATTGAATCCAGAATAAATTGGATTGTAGGATCTGTAACAATATATTTGCTTGACCGTCTTTGGGATTGGTTTTTCCTATTTAATTTTTTTGCTATTCGGCAGGATGTAGTTGGATCAACTTCATTTTCTGGAAATCCTCAGACAAAGCATGTCAAGTTAGATAACTTCCTTGAAGCTCCACCTATTTCTTCTTATTGTGTAAGTTTTTATGATGAGCTTATTACCATTTGTTTTATTTTCTACTCTAACTGCTCAAGCTTTTAAAATTGCTATATCACTCAGTAACATGCTTACAAACAATATGTAAATGGTTGTCATGACTCATGCCCGATATTTTTTTTCCATTGGCTCCCTGAAAAGGTCTAAGAGTTTAATTCATGTGTTGGTTTTATTGTTGCCATGTCTTTTAGACTACAGCCGAGGTAGTTTTTTCCTAGGATCATGCTTCTGAGCCATTTTAGGCACATGCTGATGCAAAGAGGACCAATTTTTTTTTCTTCTTTCTTTTTTGGGAGTTGGAGAGGCAGAATCAATCATATCATAAGCCGTACATCCCTCTTTATGAAAAGCAAATAACTTTATAGCGAATCCAACTATACAAATGCATAATTCCCTTTTGCATTTCAAAAGGCTCTTGCCCAGTCTTGATCTTGCCAGTGCAGGGTGTAGGGATGTGTAGACCAGCATCAATAGATTTGTCATTTTCCCTGATTTTTGACACTACACAGTGATGGGTAAAAGGTAATAACAACTTATAATGACAGCTGCTAAACTGCATTACTTTTGAGGAGAACAAACACTGGCAAGTACACTCTACCTTTCTTTTATTTTAATCCCCTCAGTAACGACATTTAATTGGCGTCTGGTTTGCAATTTTGTTGTACTTGTGTTTTGTTTGATAGCCTATTTCCTGGTATATGCACAGTGCTCCTGCATTCTTGAGTTTGATGGTGCGTCAAAGGGCAATCCTGGTCTTGCTGGTGCAGGGGCTGTTCTGCGCTCAGTAGATGGAAGTCTGGTATTCATCGACTTATCTAGGCTGTTGTATTTTTTGTAAAGTATAGCTCTCTAACCTTTAGGTTTGGTAGGTCTATCGATTGCGCGAAGGTGTGGGTGTTGCAACTAATAATGTCGCTGAATATAGAGGTGTGATTCTGGGATTGAAATATGCTCTTTGGAAAGGGTATAAACACATTCGTGTCCAGGGAGACTCTAAACTAGTCTGTATGCAGGTTTTTTTCTTTCTTTATTTTTTTTTGTCAGTTTTAAAATAGTTATATGCTTGCCAGTGTCTGCTTGGCTTTGCTTCATTTTTTAATAAAGATTTTTTAATTTAATTCTATATTTGAATTTTGTTAAGCGATCCAAAATTCAAGAAACTTTCATTTGATCATAGTATAGTCTCTTGAATAAAGAAAATCTTGTATGCATCTTCCTAGATAATTTTTTCAACCCTTTAACTATAATTAAATATTCATCTTGCACGAGGGATGTAAAATGCTTCTAATTTTCTTAGAGGTTGAATTTGTTGCGCCTCTGCATGCATTAATTGTCCTTGCAGCTTTTATTAGTAATACTGGAAGTTCCTGTATGTAGCACCATCTTCCTCCAACATAAAATCACGGTAGGCATCATAGCCATCAAACTTTTTGCTGTCACCTTCACTTGTTTCGCTCTGCCTGCAGTCCCGCCTTACTTCTGACTCAATCTTTCATCAATGGTGAGGCTAAAAGAGAGATTTATTTATTTTTAAATAGTTTTTTGGGAAATAAGGGGCCACTGTTTCAGTTGTTGAAATTTGGCCCTATACCCTTGTGATAGTGGGTTCAAACCTAAGGACAGCCTTTTTGTGCAAATGATGCCAAAGGTTAAGTCTAGACTCTGTACCCAATCTACTCTTTCCAGATTCCCATTAATGAGGACTAAACTGGGTGTTTTCTCAAATAGTGGTTGAGGAGGAAAAGTTGCTTATAGTGAATGTTTGACCTAGTCGAATCGGTAGATTGTAAAAGTAGAGCTTATTTTTATGTGCTAGCAATGAATTTATAAGGACTTGCAACATAAACTTCTCATGTTTCATTGTGAAATGATTGAAATTTTTGTTAAGTTCTGCATGTTGAAGTCATTGGTTTTTTGGTTCCTTGGTGTATAATTCGAATATTAGTTTACTTCCTTTACCTGGTGCACACAAAATTGTGATGGTGAGAGGTCTATGAATTCAGCTCTTAGTGTGGAGTCCATTGTGTCATCAAGATATCAGCCACTTATTGATTGTGTCATCAAGATATCATCTACTTATTGATTGTGTCTATAATTTGGTTAATACATCTGTTTGACTTTTTTGGATTTCAGTCTGTGCCTGTGGTAACTCTTGCTATTTATCTCTTTTCTACAAAATTTTTATTATTATTTCCTTTTTATAAAATTCAGATTCAGGGTCTGTGGAAGACCAAAAACCCAAACATGGCTGAATTGTGCAAGGTGGCTAAGGAGCTTAAGGATAAATTTGCATCTTTCCAGATTAGTCATATTGACAGGGTATATACAGATCATTGTTTTTGTCTTGTTTTGAAACACTATGCTTAGAACTAGAAATTCCCATACCAATTTGTGTTTTTCTTTATTTTCTATGAAACATCCATAATTCCAGCGTTACCAATGGGTTATTTGATTCATGACTTTTGAAGTTTGATAAGATATGGATATTTCCCTTATTTGATGGTCTTTTCATCCTTAAGTTGGTTCTTATGATAGGACATGGAGGTTTGCAGAATTGGTCAAAAAGATGTTTCCTGCTTATTATGACTATAAATCTTGAATTCTATAGTACATCTTGATGTCCATGATTTGAGCTGCGGTAGTATGAATCTCTGTGAGTTATTGTATTACTACAACTTGGAAACGTGTATGACATACTCTAATGTTGGTCATGGTCTGGGTTCTGGTTCATGATGGCTTTCCCTTCATATATTCAGAAATTGACTATTTGTCTTCATGCAATTACCAAAGTGTTACTTTCATATATTCGATTGGTGTTTTGGGGGTAAAATATTCAATTGTTCGGCTTCTTATATTTTTTGGTGGCACTGCTGCTTTTGCTATGACATACTAAACTTTACTTGGCAAGCTTTTGTTTTATATGCCTCTTCAGTCCCCAGTTTGTCCGTACATGATTATGCATCTTCTCTTTTCTTCTATTCTTTCCCTTTTTTAAAGGAGATTAACACCGAAGCTGATGCTCAAGCAAACCTTGGTGTATATCTCAAAAGTGAGGACCTCCAAGCTCATTTCAGTATTTTGATACCACTTCATTCTGTGATAATGTTTGCTTGTGCATGCTGATAGAACCTTGTGCCTGTGCAGATGGTGAAGTTGAAGAGGAATGTGACAATAAATAGTTCAAATTCTTGGAAGCAGTAACCACTTTGTTTTGGGGTTTTGGCAAGTACCAGTGGTGGCAGACATTTTTGGAGCCTTTCCGTCATGTGGACCACACTCATGTGTATCTTCCTTCAGCTGATCGAGCTCGATGTCAAAATATGGGATCCTCCATGGGAACGACAAGTTCTCTTGTAAGCCACAAGGCTTTGTGCCTTACTAGTAAGTATCGAATTTAGTTTTGTACCAAGAGCTGGTAATGGAGCTGCTCACTGGATAGCAGGCCCCTCTGTTTACAGTTCTCTTCGTAGGGTGTTCAGACCACCACATGCATCGTGCACTATTTTGCTTTCGGATTGTGTATTGTCACTCTCTTGTTTAATGTAACCTGTCCTTGTCTTGAAAATTGTTTGCACAATGTATCCAAGACAATTTATGAGAATTGTCTTCAAATCTTTTGTTTGAATCTTTCTGTAGGATCAATAGGTTACTTACTCTATTAGATCAATGAGTCACTAATTTAATCACAGAATCAATCAGGTTTTTGATTAGGCATGTTAATAGACGTACTTTGGTCTTAATTCAAATCCGGATATGGACTGACATTTACTATCAACAATTTGCTGAATTCATTATATTAGATTACTAATCATAATTTGTGGTTGAAGATATGATAAAGCATAAGATTCGAACCTTCAAAAAAATTGATTCCATTATACTAAACAGTAATTTTTTATTTTTTTTGTTTCTTTGATTACATCATTTAAAATTAATTTTTATATATTATTTTTTTAAAAATAGTGTCAAAATTTTATCAAAATGTATAATTTGACAAAATTTTCTAACACGTATATATTGTTGTGTATGGATAATGTAATCAATAAAAATTGTGTTAAATTATAAATTAATCAAATATTAAATNTATTATTTTTTTAAAAATAGTGTCAAAATTTTATCAAAATGTATAATTTGACAAAAATTTTTAACACGTATATATTATTGTGTATGGATAATGTAATCAATAAAAATTGTGTGATTGAATATGTGGTAGAATTGAGTAATGTGATTTTTTTGGGAGAAAAATATGTAGGGGACAAAAATTCAACTTCTTTCCTGCCTTATTATATACTAGCAATTGCTTGTGCCTGAAGTCACGGTGTTACTCATAAATTAGTTACAAATATTTGTTCATACATAAATATAAAGTAAAATACAATATTGTAGTAAACGACGAACAAAATGAGTCCGCGAATATTTTTTATAACATCAACCTACATGCATAGCATATATTTTTACATTAAATTGTTACGCCACAAAAATTATGTTATAACTNATTAGTTACAAATATTTGTTCATACATAAATATAAAGTAAAATACAATATTGTAGTGAACGACGAACAAAATGAGACCGCGAATATTTTTTATAACATCAACTTACATGCATAGCATATATTTTTACATTAAATTGTTATGCCACGAAAATTATGTTATTAATATTGAAACATAATAATTCACACATCAAAAAAAATATATCAGTTGATAATATTCAATGTTCTTTTTTGGATTCAAAATTCACGATTTTAACATTCATAATCAATTTTATCTAAATAATAACAGAATTCATAAATAATATAAAAAAAATAGAATTAAAATTAAAACAATACTCTCACAAATAAATTAAGTTTGTAGATATTGTCAAATGACTAAACATAACTATTAGAAATTCAATCGACTTTCAAAAGATACGATCTGACTATTGAATTTATATGATTCGAGTTTATAGTATTATTTTTAATTTTATATTATTATTCTCGGTNACTCTCACAAATAAATTAAGTTTGTAGATATTGTCAAATGACTAAACATAACTATTGGAAATTCAATCGACTTTCAAAAGATACGACCTGACTATTGAATTTATATGATTCGAGTTTATAGTATTATTTTTAATTTTATATTATTATTCTCGATTATTTATATTCTTATTATATTTTCTTAAATACTAAACGTTATTTAGTATTTAATTATTTAGTATAGATTGTTACTTCGTGTTGTTCACTAAATATTGAATTTGTGTTCATAATATTGCTTATAATTTTGTATCATTTTTTTCGAGTATTTTGATTTAAATTATTTAGTAAATATTGTTGTTTTGTGTTGTTCATTAAATATTGAATTTTTATGATTCGTATTTGTATATTTTAAATGTTAAATAAATTTTCTTTAATATATTTATTGATATCTGAGTTGCCCAATAATCTGAATTTAATCTTATATATTTTACATGTAAAGTATATTTTCTTTGTTAAATTAGATTTTTGGCAGGTTATATTNTTGTTCACTAAATATTGAATTTGTGTTCATAATATTGCTTATAATTTTGTATCATTCTCTCGCTTATAATTTTGTATCATTTTTTTCGGGTATTTAGATTTAAATTATTTAGTAAATATTGTTGCTTTGTGTTGTTCATTAAATATTGAATTTGTATGATTCGTATTTGTATATTTTAAATGTTAAATAAATTTTCTTTAATATATTTATTGATATCTGAGTTGCCAAATAATCTGAATTTAATCTTATATATTTTACATGTAAAGTATATTTTCTTTATTAAATTAGATTTTTTGCAAGTTATATTTTTTTTATTAAGTATGAAAAAAATAAAATTGACTATTGAATTTTTATGATTTAAGTTTATAGTAGTGCTTGTAATTTTATATCATTTTTCTTGGTTATTTATATTTTTAGTATATTTTCTTAAACTAAACGTTATTTAATATTAGATTATATTTAGTAATAATTGTTGCTTCATGTTGTTAACTAAATATTAAATTTGTATGATTCGTGTTCATAGTATTTCTTATAATTTTGTATCGTTTCTCTCGCTTATAATTTTGTATCATTTTTTTCAGGTATTTAGATTTGGATTATTTAGCAAATATTATTGCTTTGTGGTGTTTATTAAATATTAAATTTGTNTTAATATTAGATTATATTTAGTAATAATTGTTGCTTCATGTTGTTAACTAAATATTGAATTTGTATGATTCGTGTTCATAGTATTTCTTATAATTTTGTATCGTTTCTCTCGCTTATAATTTTGTATCAATTTTTCAGGTATTTAGATTTGGATTATTTAGTAAATATTATTGCTCTGTGGTGTTTATTAAATGTTAAATTTATATTATTCGTGTTTGTACATGAATTTAATTTTATTTATTTTAAATGTTAAACATATTTTCTTTAATATATCTCTTGATATCTAAATTGTCCAATAACTTAAATTTAATCTTGTATATTTTATATGTTAAACATATTTTCTTTGTTAAATTAGATTTTTTGTAAATTATATTTTTGTTTTATTGATTATAAAAAAAAAATTTGACTTTTAANTAAATGTTAAACATATTTTCTTTAATATATCTCTTGATATCTAAATTGTCCAATAACTTAAATTTAATCTTGTATATTTTATATGTTAAACATATTTTCTTTGTTAAATTAGATTTTTTGTAAATTATGTTTTTGTTTTATTGATTATAAAAAAAATAAAATTGACTTTTGAATTTGTATAATTCGAATTTATAGTGGTGCTTTTATTTTTATATCATTCTTCTTGGTTATTTATATTTTTAGTATATTTTTTTAAACTAAACGTTATTTAGTATTGAATTATTTAGTAAAGATTATTGCTTCGTGTTGTTTACTAATTATTGAATTTGTATGATTCATCTTCATAGTATTGTTTATAACTTTGTATCGTTTCTCTCGCTTGTAATTTTATATCATTTTTCTTAGGTATTTAGATTTGGATTATTTAGTAAATATTGTTATTTTATGTTGTTCACTAAATATTGAATTTATATAATTCGTTTTTGTATATGAATTTAATCTTGTATATTTTAAATATTAAACATATTTTCTTTAATATATCTTTTTGATATCTGAGTTTCCAAATAAGTTGAATTTAATTTTATATATTTTATATGTTAAGCATATTTTTTTTGTTAAATTAGATTTTTTGCAAGTTATGTTTTTTTTATTAATTATGAAAAAAATAAAATTGACTATTGAATTTATATGATTCGTGTTTGTAGTATTATTTGAATGAAAGAGAAAGATATAAAAGAATATTTTTGTAATATATTATCTCTCTCTGTAATATATATTATCTATTTACAGAGAGATATAGTATTTGTTTGAATCCGACACTTTCTAATATTTTTGTGAGATACAAATAAAAATATTATGGAAAATTGATATGTTTTGCATGAATTGAGCGTAAGAGAGAGACACAGAGGAATGAGAGAGAGAAAGATAGAGATTTGCTTGATTTAAGGAAAAGATTNTAAGAACTAGTGGCAAGAGAGCTGCACCTTGTGCTTGGGCCACAGTTTTATCGAATTTATATTCTTCTTGTCCGTTCCAAGATGTTTCATGTGAATGGTTTGAGTTACTTCTTAGGTATTGTTTGACCTAATTCTTGTCTACATAATTATGAATCTGTAGGGAATAGAGGGCGTCACAGATCTGAAAGTTCAGGTTCTTGAGGGTATTGCAAGCGTAGAGGTGAGTAGCAACTACTTTTTGCTTGTTGCATTTCATGGATAGTCAGTTAACTAGCATTTATGCTTTCTGTTGTGGTTCCCCTTTTAAGTTGAAAACAACTATGGGGAGTGAAGTTACTTCAACTGCAATTATGACTGTAAACTGTAAGCAGTTGGTGAACTTAGAATGTTAATTTCTTATGGACCATAAAACCATGCTGAATGGCCCAAATCCCTAACCATTTTTTGACATGGCAATAAAAACTTCACCCACAGTGAACTATCTAAAGAACCTGGTGGCCTCAATAGGCTGCATATTTGTTGTGTGAATCTTTTTTGTACTTGAAATTATCAAGACATGTCCTCATTGGTTTACTTATTGTTGATGTGATGAGTGATTTACCTTTGTTCTTTTGTGTAGTTGACAAAACAAACAACAGTACAAGCTACAGGGGTGGCTTCCAGTTTGGTTGAGAAAATACAAAGTTCAGGGTTCAAGCTACAAACATTGAATTTGAGCTTTCAGGATGAAGAAGATATCAACTAGAGATCATATGCTGATTTTTATTGTTAGAAATCCCACAAACAATTCATTATCTTTGAAGTCCTCTGGTTGTCAAAATGCAGGCAGATCAGTGATGATCACTGATCTGTTCTCACTCCATTGCCTATTGCATGCATGACAGTTCGGGTATCAATTCTCCATGCTTTTGTTTCGTGAAATGACTGGTAGTGTGTGAATCATGTTACACTGTTTTACATGAAATAATCGGAATTATATGATTCATTTTATTTAATGGGAAAAATTAAAATGAGAAACGTCTACCTGATGACACCTGATGGCAAGATTTGATTTGGCTTCAACTGTCAGTCTAGCCTGTGGTGTACTTGAAAGTTATCTTGCATGCTAGTTTACTACTGGGGATTTTCAGCAAATGTAGGATGGAGTGGATTAAAAAGGGAAGCCCAGTGGCTGTGGTTTCCTTCATTTCCGCTAGAGTATTGTCTAGTTACAGTGACCTGCGCACACAGCCAAATAAATAATCAGTTCTATAGAAATAGCTAATTTTGTTATTAAACAACAGTATTATGATCTTCATTGCGACATACAGTACATAGCCTTAGTTCGACATTTCTCATTTTCTTTGATTCCTAAAACTTCATTTCGTCAACATGTCATACTTTAATTCTTTTCCTGTGACAGGGTACTCTGTCAAACACAACACCGGGAAAGTCATTCCTCGGGTCTCCGCAGCTCCCCCCTCCATTGGGAGGGGAGTTGGGTGTTTTGGTTTCTAACATGACCAAATCCTGTGTGTGTGCACGCGCGCTACTCCCTGATCAAACGCTTGCATTTCTCTACCTATGCTGTGCTTGTGTGGTTATCCTGTTGAGATGATTGAGATCATCAGACCAAAGTTGCAAATTGACACAGGACAGCCATTAGAGCAGGAGTGTTGACTTGAATCTACACACAACTGGAAAGTTAGTGGGATGGGGTGGATTAAAAACTAGTAGCACATGAGCAAGATGGACCTTTCTAAACCAAACTCAACTCAGTAAGTCTACATCTGAGCTCATATTTGGACTAAAAAAAGGTTCAAGACAGGTGATATCGGAGGTAAATCCAACTGAACTACATTGAATTCCCCCCAAAAGATGGTAGTTTATGTTATATTTAGTAGTTAGTAGAGGACTGCTAGCCAGGTGTTATCTGAATCCTAAATTTTGTTTTCTTTGCCCTCGAAGGAGGAATGGGGATGGGTTTTTAAGTTTTAAGGATTGGAAGTTGCGCCTGTCTTTTGAGTTTTCTTTGGTAGTGGTGATGCCATTTTTTGTGGATAGTTCTTATTACGATTTATCAATCCAATACAAAGCCAACACCGAGTTATCAAATATAAGTGGAATTGAATGTGCGTTTGGATCATATCAGGGTCAAATGACTATATTCGTATAACAAATAAGTAAGTCAAAACAAACTCAAATGAATGTTGCTTGTACATGATAAGAATTGAATCATAAATAATACTAATAAGTAAGACAATAATGTGAATTATATTGGAAGTCTTGGGCAATGGCACTAATCAATTTGATAAAAATCATGTCCAAAAATATCATCTTTTCTGTCTCAATACTTGATTCTAAAATTTAACAAAAAATCCCATCTTTTCAATTCACATGAATATGAGTTTCTTATTGAACAAGTGGAGCAGTTGATGGAGATGGTCAACAGGATTAGACTGAATCTTTGCATGGATTAAGACATAAACAACCTTGTCCTATGGTCCATAAACTAATGGTTTCACAGTCTCTAATACAATGAGATATATTAGTCTAGCAGACAGGTCCATTGAGCCCCATGAGATGACTCAACCGTTGGAACCCCAAAAAACACACTTAGCATAGCTGCTTTTATCTGGGGAAGCTAAAATCCGTAACACAACCCCTTAATGCCAGCCAGCTCTCAATGGCTTCAGCTCCCACAGCTTTCTATAAAGAATATAAATAGCCAGGTCTCATACTCTCTATTTCCATCCCTTAACAGGAACTCTTCAGTCTTCACCAACTTTGGTTCTTTCCTCCCTCTTCATCCATCTTTGGTCTTTCTTTATTGATTCTCAATGGCCACAAAAGTAGTGCTCTTGCTATTAGCCTATGTGCTTTTAGTCACCAACATGGTATGCACCATTAGAGTCCACACTCAACACACCCCTTCACTAGCACCCACCCACACACATGAATTTCAATTCATGAATTATATTCACATGCATATAACATATGCATTTATATTTATATATGTTTTTATAATTTATACGGTGATGAGAGGAGATTCGAAGCTGGATTTCTAGATCACTATTGGTGGCCACTTCTCGATTGAGGGGGGACACAAAAGGCAGTAGTCCCCTTCATCCCTCCCTTGTTCCATTAGTAATCTCAATCACTAGGGTTTGGTCTAAGATTTTTGAAAATTTTTACCTCGATGAACACACATCAAGTTCGTGTCGCGTAGAGCACCATGAGGCCTAAAATTTTTTGGCCTTCTTTCCTCTTAATCTTTCATAATGTTTGTGAAACTCATTATTATATTTTGTTTTTGTAGGTTTCATCAATTGAAGAGACTGTTGAAACAGAGGTACTCTAATTTACGAATCAGTCGGGCCAATGCCCAATGAGAATATATAGTCTCTAAATTTTGAAATGAGTTTTGTCAAGCAATTAAACTGATATAATGATGAATTGGGCAATGATTGTAGGTTTATGTTCCAAATTATGTGGCCAAGCCTCCAGCCCATGCCCCAGCAAAGTCCCCTACCCACGCACCCCCAAAGAAGGCTCCAGCCCCTGCACCCAAAAAACCTCTGGTCCATCCACCGACAAAGGTTCCTGCCCATCCCCCGGTCAAGGCCAAGGCCCCAGTCCCACCAGTGGCTCCTAAGCACGGTAATAATCCTAACTTTACGATGAATTAGTAGTCAAACAAGGGATGAGTTGTGAACACAGATGCCATTATTATGTTTGCTTTAAACTCTTAGTCCCAAAAACGCGTTGTTGGGATAATTCCTAACACCCGAAAAGACTTGATGATGAATTTTAACACGCTAACGAGTTAAAATGTGCTTGGTAATGCAGAGTGCATCCCAATGTGCAGAAAATATTGCGACACACATCACAGCAAGAGGAATTGCATGAGGGACTGCACCCCTTGCTGTGCAAAGCTCAAGTGTGTACCTGGACCTAAGAAGTGCAGCAACTGGGATCATGTGAAGTTCGGTGGTGAGACAGTCAAGTGCCCCTAAAATTGAAGGATGGAAACCCGTTATTGCCTCCATGTTTGTTCTTCTTCATGAGATTTCATGTTTGTTCTTTAAGCGGTTGTGTTAGTCTCTTCAGGCAATAACCCATTGCAGGGAAGGGTGAAGAAATGGTTTTGATGTACCTTTGTGTAACAAGCACTGATTGTTACTGGTGAAATTTGTTATCTAGTTTCTTTGATCATATAACGATATAGTGTGGGTGTCCTAGCTAGTGAATGCTAACCTATAATCCGGGTTTGATAATTCTCAACTGAAACTATCAAATTCAACACGAAAAATGGAATGAAATCATCTGATAGGAGTTTAGTCTTAGCACATTTAGATCATAACTCGATTGATCTGCCAAAGAAATAGTTTACTCGAATCCGAATACATACAACCTACACACGACATGCGCCCTAAATGGACCAGTGTAAAGGTTGAGCAAATTTTAACATGATCAATAGAGTTATGATCTAATTTTCTAAGAAACTTCCTGGAAGCCAAAACGTGTGAAAAAAGCATGGAGAAAGAATGATAGAAAGAAGAACAAAACACAGAAAAGCGTAGTTGAAGTAGGCTATGCAATATTTAAATAAGTGTTCACACTTAACTGGTCATACAAGGTGTTTGCCAATTGTACCGAGAGGGGTCTACACGTTGAAGTTGTCGGCATTCACAGAAGAGAAGATGATTTCTAGAATGGTCCGACGAGGTCACAATTGGAATCACTTAAACAAAATGTCCAGTGGTCTGTTCTCATACTTCAAATCTCACATCTTGAAAATGTGACACTCAAAATTCGAGTGTCTGTAATTGTCCGATTGATCATCCATCGACTTGCAGAATACTGGTGGATATCGTGTAATTCGATACCACACTGTTATGCCCCATTTTTTGGGATCCATCTTAACAAAATTTGGGTAAACTCTCCTTTGTACGAGGAGCTCTACCTAAAAATGCAACCTGTACAATATTGACCACACCGGGTCTATCCATCTATTCACAATTGTATAGTCTCAAATACTACCATAATCATCATCAGTACGTACATTTTTTCGTAAAAGAATAAATGTCTCAAAACAGTCTCATATACATGCTTTTGTAAATATAAACAAATGTTTGTTACAAAAATTATACAAGACCAAAAGTAAGTATAAACAAGGGATTACAATGTCAAAATAAGAGTCACAGACCGGCTCTGTCGTCAAAGCGGGCCCATGGCCTCGCCTTCGGTGGACACCTGTGCGACACCTGAAAAATGTTCCTATAAAGGGTGAGTCAACGCTCAATAGAGTAACTCCTATAGATAATATCTCTCAATTTAAATGCATATGAAATGTCACATACAACAATCATTCAAATATGTCTATTATGATTGAATATCATAAATCATGTCATGTCATGAGATGAGACTCACGCAAGCNATCATTTGATACATTCATTTAAATATGTCTATTATGATTGAATGTTATAGATCATGTCATGTCATGAGATGAGACTCACGCAAGCAATACCAACCCCGAGCCCCACCCTGAGCTCCCATAACACATGCAATGTCATGCGTATGTATCCGAGCATTCCAAGCCCCCATCATTGGTGTTATGTACACTCAATGCTAATTAATTCATTTTCTTGTGTCTTTGTGGGGAGGTGATTTATGGTATTACACCAATGGGACACCAACCATCAACGGATTTTCAGGACATCCCACCTGCGGCTCCGTTTTCGCCGTTACACTTTTTTAAAATTTCACCGCTGGAAAGTGTATAAACCAAGTAAGCGGGTCTTGCACCCGAGGGAGAATCTAGCCCTTCGTGCTGTCCCCAACACATTTATCCATTTAATTTCTCGTGCGACTCAACCGAACCTTGGTGCGACTTTTCCGAGTCCACGTTCAACCACCTACGTGGTGATTGATTTCATACCATGCATACACTCTCACCCATGTCAATGCCCATGAATGTAGTGCAACCCATGCATAATGAAATACAATGTAATGACATTTTAACACGATCTCAAGCATGTTATGTAAGATAATCAACTCAANAGTCCACGATCAACCACCTATGTGGTGATTAATTTCATACCATGCATACACTCCCACCCATGTCAATGCTCATGAATGTAGTGCAACCCATGCATAATGAAATACAATGTAATGACATTTTAACACGATCTCAAGCATGTTATGTAAGATAATCAACTCAACTAACATACTTGTATTCACCTAGGCATTTAATCAAACACCTAAAGAGCACATCAATTTACACAACTAGCATGCTATGACTTGCAACATGACAACATGTTTATTAATTATATAAACATAAGCACAAGTCCACCAAAATAATCATATGTTAAATAATCATTTAACATACATATTATTTCATAATCACATAACAAGTTAATAATTTTATTAAACTTGATCTGCCATTAAAATATAAAGTAATGCTAATATACAATTAACATTTTTTAAACCACTAACATTAATTTATACCAAGTTAATCACAATAGAATTTTATTAATCACAATGTTAATTATAAATCCTATATTTGACTCACTAGTCACACTAGTCAAGACCTAACATGTGATATACACCTATAATCTATTCATTTCATATGTCATATTTTAAGTTGAAATTAAATCTAAATTAGTGAAACCCTACCTCTCATAGCGTGAGCCCACTTATTAGAACGTCAAGGAAACCCAAATTTAGCTTTCTAAGTTTTTGGCCTAGATTATCGATTTTGATATTTTTTTGGAGAAAAATACGATATTTGGTGTGGTTGCGTAGTTCTCGCTGAGTAGAGCAACTTTAGTTCTTAGCCCGAAACGATTAAACGGTCCAATTTTCGTAGATCTGAGAAAAAAAAAACACTCACTTTTCTCTCTCTCACTCTCTGTCTCGCCGTTTCTCCAACAAAACCAAACGTGGAAGACTCTTATATATATATATTATAATTTTTTTTTAAATTTATATTTTTGACTCGTAATTTAACAATTAATTATTATTTTACCCTTTTAATTAAAATTTTTAATAATAATAATAATATTATTTTTTTCGGGTTTTACAGAAGAACTACACTAAATTGCATCAATCCCTTCAAAATGTGCCCAAAGCCTAGCAAATTTTCACACAATTTGCAAGTTTGCTATGTAACGACACGGTATTAATAAATCTGCATTTGGCCTTGGTAGATTTGGGTGATAAATTGGTGAACGTATCTCTAGTCAAACCCGAACAAACATGATTTATAAATTATACCCAATATGGATAAATAATACGCACTATTAGGCTCTATGCTCAAACGCACTATATTATTTAGCGGCTAAAACATGCTTCAATTAGGGTGTAATTGGAATATATTGGGTACTAATATGGCCAAACTCATGTTATAAAACACTCAACCAAGCTCAATCCAAACAACTTTGAGCCTAAATTCAACTCATAATAAAAATAAAAAAAAAATTAAACTTGGGTAGAACAAGATGGGTTCCAACTTGAGCCAAATTGAAATTAAACTCGGCAAATAACCTTAAAGATTTATCCAAATCCAAAGGGTAAGAAAGAAAAGCCACAAGGCCCATAAACATCAAAATATCAAACACTAATTGATCCCATTGTAATTTCCTGGTAATTGCATTTGATAGTTATGTTTAGCTTCATGTCCGAAAAAGAAATAATGATCAGACAATTCTCACCTATTCTTTAAAAAAGAGACAACTTTTGACATATTCTTTCCGATGCTAAGGTTAGCATAAAAGTAACAACCTAGAATAAAAAAAAATGGCAGTTTGAGGAGTCTAGATGTAGCTTACCTAGTTGCTCACTAATTACTTAGTTTTCAGTATAATTTATTAATCAAGGAAAAGGTATCCTTAACCACATCTTAAAAAAATTGAAGGATCCATGAATGAGCACCGGGAAATTTCCCTGACAAATGACAAGGTATTTTTAATGCATTACTTGACTTAGTAAACAACTTGCAACTACATATAATGAACGTCTCTTTGTCATCTCAGACAGCCATTTCTTGGTACTATTAGCTTTGTTTCCAAGCAGATCTTACTAAGTTGAGAAGATGAACCAGTTCTGTAACAAATCTCAATCTCTGTCTTTCATGTTTTATGATTCAAATTTTCACATATAACCCCCCCTATCGTGAATTGAACTGTCTTTTCTATGTTCATATATCATTATCTCTTATTTTTCGGACCAAACCGTTGGTTGCAGGTTCAGGAGTGGAGTGGAAGTAGCAAATCTGGTGGCAAGCTTAGATCTTCTCCATTATTCATGGGAAGCAATTGTGGATCTGCACAGAGAAACCCATTCAAGAGACCCAAACTTGCCCATTTCCAAAGTTTATCCGCATCCTTCTAAGGGGACCATTATAGCATTTAAGTCCTCACCCACTTGTACTGTTCATCATCTTCAAGGAGGAGGTAGAGAATTTGTTTCATCAGAAGCTCTTAAAGAGTCTTTTCCAGTATTTGAATTTATCTGCACCAAAGTCAATCGATCCTTCTCCATTAACAAAGCTGCAGTAACCCTTTTTGCCTCTCTGTATAATGAGCTATCTCGCCTTAAAGATCAGGTATTACTCTCTCTCTCTCTCTCTCTCTCTCTCTCTCTCTCTCTCCTCGCTTCTGTGTGTTAAATTGTTAGTTTTTATAGTTGGGGAAATCTTAGCAGCAGAATCTTTGATGATGTCTGAAATATTAGGCCAATCTTCGGTAGACACTAGTACCAGATAAACGGGAAGAGGTCTTTTTCAGGTATCACAGTTTTGACTAGATAATGTTCACCAAAAAAGCAACTAGCTTACAAGTATTCTGTAAAAGGACTACACAGTCATTCCTGATTCCCCATTAGATACTAAAGATCCAATCATACAAACGAGTATATGAGACAAATTATTGTGTATTAGCAGGTTATGGTTGATTAGTTTTTGATACGAATATAAAATATAATTATTAGTTTATGGCGAGACTCTAGGTGGCTCTACAGTCCCCGGGTCGACACATGGAATTATGAACCCGTTGGGATGTCCAAAGGGCGCTGAGTAAGTAAGCCGAGGTATGGTGACACTGAGCAACCAAGTACGACAGCTAACATCATATTTAATGCAATGTGATCCCTCATTTATGACAGAATGAGTGAAAGTGATAAGACAAATAAATACGAGCCTGCCAGCACTTGTCCTCTGGGAGTCTAAGCCTACTGTCATGATGGCTAAGCATTAATGGCTGATGCGCCAAGATAACGCGATCGGCACCCCCGAGAAACTGTTATCCCCTGAATATTCAATGCTTAGTTGATGTCGGATACCGATCTGGGGAATTTGGGTACTCGAGGAGTGGCATGAATGCTCGACATTTGGCTAAGCATTTACTCCATTTTCCTAGCATTCAATAGGAGGAAACGTGAGTAGAAAACACTCATTGCACGAGAAATTGTGTGTCAGATGTAAGATCTTCAGATGAGACTGGAGATCTTTGACAATCATTGCTAGTTCAGGTATAAATACTCCTCAAAAAAATGGACAAAGATACGTAAACTTGAATCAGAAAAATAGTCCATTGAGCAAAACCCTTCGACTTTATACTAACTTAAGCATCAGAGGGGATTAGCCGGGCGCTCACCTGACCCCATTTTTTTCTGACCCTGTTGTTTCAGGTTCGCCAGCTTGGAGATCGTTATCTCATACTATTGCAGAAATTATCCCGTTCAATTTGGCGCCGTCTATGGGAAACAAAGGCATTTTTCCCGGTAGCGATCGTCTGATGGTGAACACTCGATCTCAGGGTGAGGGAGCAAGTGTACGGGCTAGGAACACAGAGCCCGTCCGACTTTCAATGGTTCAGGAGCCGAGTTCATTGGGCCAATCAGATAAGGTGGGGCATTCTTCGCAAAGAACTCTCCATATGGATCAGGGCCTTGGGGGGCGCGAAGTCATGACCCATGACATTGTTGAGATGGTGAAAAAGCGGATGGGCAAACGCATTAAGCAGCTTGAAAGGAAAAACGCCAAGGTCCAGCAACGTCTTGACAATTTCGAGCAGTCAGTGAGCGCGAGTGAACATAGTCGCAGGTTCGGGGACCAGGTGCCTAGCCAGAACTTGTCCAGCCCCCCTTGGCATTAGCCCTCCAGGAAAGATTGGATTAGGCACTCGCCCAAGGGACGTAACCGCCAAGGAGGGTTCTCGGCCTCCAAGGAGAAGTCAGAATCAGGCCAAAAAACAAGCCTGTTCAGGTGGGACCTGCGCCGAGGGCGTCGGAGCCTCCGAATCATAAGCGGAGTCCATACCCCGAAGGCCTCGAGAAGAAAGATCAAAAAAAGATCCCAAGGTCCCTTTCGTTGCTTAGCACAACCATGAGCCCGAGGTCTACTCCAAAGAAGTTATCTCATCACCGTTCGTCTGGGCTATCAGGGAGGCCGAGATACCAAAGAAGTTTACCGTCCCATGGTTCAAAGTCTATGATGGGAAAACCGATCCCGAGAGCCACCTTCGGCAATACAGACAATTGATGTCAATCTATGATACTGACCAAAGGGTGTTGTACCGAGTTTTTTCCCATGAGCCTAGGGGACACAGACATGAGGTGGTATGAGAACCTTGCTTATGAGAGCGTTAGGTCCTGAAAATAATTGACGGAGCTCTTCATAGCTCGATTCATCACCAGTAGTAAGAAATCGAAGGACATCGGCGCTCTGTTGACGCTTAGGCGAAAAGGGGGAGAGACACTTCGACAATATGTCGTCCGATATTGGGATGAAGTGAACAAGGTAGAAGCATATTCGAAGGCATTGGCCGCGGCGTCATTTAGGTTGGGGCTGTCCCAAGACACTGATTTGTACAAATCACTGACTAAGAAGACTCTGGCAGACATAAAAGACTTGATGGCTCGAATTAACAAATATGCCTGGATGGAAGAAGAATCCGTCGCGCCCGAGAGCAGGGTCACGGTGCTGAGGAAAAGGGAGCAGCTGGCCCGAAGGGGAGGGCCTATTCCACCCCCAACTCGTCTATCCTTTTAGGGAGTGAACACGGTCTTTAACTAGCCCATTCACAGGATACTCCCCAAAATCAAAAACAAACCCTACTTCAAGTGGCCCCCGAGGATGTTTCGAGACCCGTCGAAAAGGAATGCGGCCTCCCGATGTTCATATCATAAAGATATTGGCCATTTGACGGAGGATTGCAAGATTTATAAATCTTTCCTCGAACAATTGGTGCGAGACAGACACCTCGGGGAATTCATCGACAGGGGTCGTCCCGGCAGGTCGGCGAGAGAGCGAGCCGAGGCGCCAGCCGTGCTTGATGTTATTCATGCCTGCACAGTGGAGAGGCCTACATACAACTCCCTCTGCGCTGAGTTACAGAGGGTCTCTCAAGCAGTCAGGGTGGAAGAAAGGGGTGATGAGCGGCTGCCCAAGAAGCCGCGAAGCAGTGCCGAGGTTATCCAGTTTTTCGACGCTGATCTCGGCGGGGTGGTCCTCCCTTACGAGGATGCATTGGTGATCACTTTGCGGGTCAGGAAGTTCGACATCAAGAGGATCTTGGTGGACTCGGGCAGTTCTTCCGAGATGATGTACGATCACCTCTTCTGCAAGATGGGACTCTCTTAGGGAGATCTGGAACCCGTGAAACCCCCTCTCATCGGCTTTAATGGTTTCAGCGCCCTGCCCCTTGAAAAAATCACCAATTTGTGGTGGTGGACTCCGACTCCCCTTACAACGCTATTATGGGGAGATCGTGGTTGCATGCAATAAAAATGGTCCACTCATCATATTACTAGAAGATAAAGTTCTCAATACCGCAAGGCATAGTGAAAATCCGGGGTGACCAGACGTCGACGAAAAGCTATTTCTATGCCACAGTGAAAATGGGAGTCAGCGGCCAGAGTCAAGAGCGTGATCCCGATGCAATGGTTGCTAAATAGCAATCACAGAGCGGTCATCTGGGAGTGGACAAGCCCATTACAGAGCTGGCCGACCGGTCTACTGAGGCCTTGGTGAAGATTCTCCTGAACCCAGATAACGATGAGAAGTACTTTTTGGTAGAAGAGTCATTCAGCGACACAGAGAGAAATAATATGGCCTCGTTTTTACGCCACAACGCCGATGTCTTTGCGTGGACTCAGGCCGAGATGACAGGGATAAGTGCCGATGTAATGACTCATCAGCTCCATGTGAATCCCTCCTTCAAACCCGTTAGGCAGAAGGCCTGGAGAATGGCGCCTCACCACGCGAAGTTTGTGGATGAAGAGGTGGATAAGTTATTGGGGGCAGGTTCCATCAAGGAGGTACAGTTCTCCCAGTGGTTATCCAATACCGTGTGCTCTAAGAAGAAAGAAGAGAAATGACGAGTTTACGTGGATTTCACGGACCTGAACAAGGCTTGCCCCAAGGATGAGTACTCTTTGCCCAAGGTTGATCAGCTGGTAGACACCACAGTCGGCCACAAGCGCATCACTTTTATGGATGCTCGGGCTGGATATCACCAGATTCCCTTGCATGAATTAGATCAGGAGAAAATGACGTTCATCACTCTCCGGGGAATCTACTGTTACACAGTGATGCCTTTTGGGTTGAAGAATGCTAGGGCGACCTACCAACGTTTGATGAACAAAATTTTTAAAGACCAACTCGGCGACACGATGGAGGTGTACATTGATGACATGTTGGTCAAAAGCAAAAAGGGGGCCGATCATCTCTATGATCTCGGGACGATATTCGTCATCCTCTGGAAGTATGACCTAAAACTAAACCCCATGAAATACGCCTTTGGAGTGAGCTCAGATAAGTTTTTGGGGTATTTGGTTACTCACCGGGGGATCGAGGTGAACCCCGAGCAGATACAAGCACTCCAGAATGTCCGGGTGCTTAGGACCATTAAGGATGTTCAGAAATTGACCGGGATGTTGGCAGCCCATAACAGATTTATTTCCAAGTCGTCCGATAAGTGTAAACTGTTTTTTGCCAAGTTAAGGGGGGCGGCTAAGGGGGTTTGGGACGAGGAATGCGGTCGAGCTCTTGAAGGGATCAAGGAGTACTTGAAACATCCTCCGACTTTATCTGTTCCGACGGCAGGGGAGGTGTTTAGCCTTTACTTGTCTGTATCTCGAGACGCTATTAGTGGAGCACTAGTCAGGGATAACGAAGGGGCCCAAAGACCTGTGTATTTCATAAGCAAGACCTTACTTGACGCCGAGACAAGGTACTCTCCAATGGAGAAATCGGTCTTGGCATTGGTAATCTTAGCGAGGAAACTTCGACACTACTTCCAGGGTCACGCCATAGACGTCCTTACAGACCGACCTCTTAAGCCGATCCTTCACAAGGCCGATATGTTCGGGAGGGTTGCCAAATAGGCTGTAGAGCTCGGGGAGTTTGAAATCAGGTACAAGCCTCGAACGTCAATAAAAGGACAAGTCCTGGTGGACTTTGTCGCCGAGTTCTCTGCGTCCGAGCCCCCACCAGTGTCACAGGATCTAACAGGGGACGTTTGGGATCTTCATGTTGATGGATCCTCGAACGTAAGGGGGGCAGAGATAGGTGTTGTGCTAGTCAACTCAGAAGGGTTCATCATTGAAAAGGCNACGTTTGGGATCTTCATGTTGATGGATCCTCGAACGCAAGGGGGGCAGGGATAGGTGTTGTGCTAGTCAACTCAGAAGGGTTCATCATTGAAAAGACAATCAAATTAAAATTCAAAGCGTCCAATAACGAAGCT